ACGCCCACACAGCCAATGTGATTTTCAAACCACCAGGTCCAGGACTTCAACCATGGTTGTCCATGTGGGAGTCCAGCGTCTTAACTACCATGCCACCTGCTGACCCTATTCAGTACTTCTTTAAAACATTTACCAATATCTTAAAGAACTGAATACTAGAGATTCCACTTAAAGGCTGTCTAGACAAGTCAATAATCTTCGGAGCAAGACCAGCATCCAAAATACCCCTGCTGCAAGGGAGTGGAGTAAGGTTCAGGATTTTCAGGGATGGAGGTGATTTACAAATGGGCTTCCCTGGCAGCAGAGAAGGCCAAGGAGGAGGTGGAAATGGAGATGTTTCAGTGGTGTCAGAGACACCGGTGAGACAGGATGCTGTGGAGAACATGACCGGGAAACTGTGGGAGGTAAATATCTGTGAAATGATCAAGTGACCTGTGGTGAGAACCACCCAGGGCCCAGGTAACCTCAGGTGGCTCCATTCTGTGTCTCTTCAGTCCCAGTTTGTGCTCAGTTGCATGGAAACAACCAAAGCAGACACATATCTTTCTGCCACAAATCTACCTTCCAGCTTCCCGAGAGCTAAACATAAAATCCGGGCATTCGACTGGCTCTAAAAATAACATGTTACATTTCTCTTTTGTTGGGGGCCCTGCATGGGTAGTTAAAAATGCTAGCTAGTTGAGTCAAACTGACCTGGGTCTGAATCCTGGCTCTGTTCTCCTAGTCGTGTAACTCTAGACAAGTTATGTAACATCTCTGGGGCCGGATGTTCTCATTGGTGCAGGGCGGGTTGTAATAGGCTCTACCCAGTAAGATGATTATAGAGATGAAATTGAGATGTTGCTGATAAAACACGGAGAACAGCCCCCCTGGCACATAGGATGTGCCTATTAGTTACCGTGATTGAAATCTTCTACATGGACTGTTTTCTGATCAATGGAGAAGGGAGAGTATAAATGCAGAGGAAAAAAAGAGCCAGGAGGGAAAAGAAAAAGAGAAGCAGAATGTTCAAAGCTGATCCTGGAAGACAGGTACTTAGTGACTGTGGGAAAAAAAAACCTGGGAGACAAAAAGGATCGAGATGGCAGGGATTCAAAGGCAGACGCTGAGCTTTGTGTTTTTTGCCAAGGTTTCATCCATCTGGCTTTGGCTTCTACACTGGCTTTTTGCTCCAAATGGCAGCTTAGAAGCCCAGTGGTAAAACGCAGGGAAGGGAGACGGACTATCTTTGAATCGTCCCAAAGTTCTGTGCTCAGGGAAGGCAATTGAGAAATATACGTAGTATTTTTTTTTGCAGTGTGGAATTCCTCTAAGACTGATGGAAGAGACAGGCCTGTCAAGGGAGTCAGCGGTGACCACAGGCTGACATAATCTTTATTGCTTTTTGGCTGACAGCTCATGCAGAAAAAATTCTCTCTGGTCCAGACAAAGGTAAACGCAGTTGCAATCCAAACACTAAAACTATGACCCTCTGTAATCAGCTTCTATTCCCAGTCTACGATGAGCCTCCACACCGGAGCAGAAACACCACCAACACGTTTCTTTCTGTAAGAGTAGGAATAATATAATCGCTAAAGAAAAATTGTTCAGAGGGTAAATGAACTCGTGTCCAAAGACCAACAGATAGGATGGTTTCTTTCCTCGATTTGTTAAACGGCTGATATTCTATGGGGCGTCTTGGATGGGGAAATACAGAGACTAAACACAAACCTGTGAAAGTGTGGAGACCTCTAGAAAAAGAAAACAAATGAACACGGTGACCTGCCTCACTTCTTCCCTTCTATGTGAAGAATGGCCGGTCTGAATCCACACTTGTAGGTTATAAATTCTAACTGATTACAAAACCAGAGCAAAACATTTTAAGATAGATTTTTCAGGGACCAGCAGTTAGTGTAATGGCTATGTCGCTGGACTCCCATGTAGTCGACTGTGGTTCGAGTCCTAGACCCGGTGGCTTAAACTCACACTGGGCGCGTGTGCGTGTGTGGCCAAGATCCCAAGAGGAGAATGGAGGAGAAGGGATTGCGGCATGGCCATCCCCCCTGGGGGGTGATTTCTCGCTTTTTGTCTGTCTCTCTCTGTCTGTCTGGCAAGCGCATGTGCCCTAAAGCAAAAACCTCTCCAAAAAAAAAAAAAAAGATAGATTTTTTTTTCATGTGATCTCTTCTGCTACACTTTTAATTTTTTTTTAATTGTTTTTAGATTTTTGCCATAGAGTGTGTGTGCTCGCTGGACAGAGCGAGGGGAAGTGAGACAGCAATTCCTGGGGAGATGGCCATGCCACATTCTGTTCTCCTCCATTCTCCTCCCGGGATTTTGGGCATGCACGCACACGTGCCTGGTATGCCCCTCAAGCGGCCGAGTTCAGGATTCGAACTGCTCACTTGGCCATGTGGGGGTCCAGTGTCTTTGCTACCTGCTGGCCTCTGATAATGCCGTGTAGAAACATGATCATTTAAACAATCAAATTGAAACCTGGATCTGAATATCAGAATGTAGGGCATGAGTAGGAGGAAGATCAAAGGGCAATTTTTACACCGCAGAAAAATCTAGCCTGCTCCTGAAAAAAATTGCTTTTATAAAATTAAGTACCATTTGAAGTTACTGTATTACGATCCACCCCATCTGTTCAGCCCATGTGTGCACGCCTGTATACACACACACACACACACGAGTTTTTTAGCAGAGAAAGAAAAATGTCTATTTCAAATGTTTGCCAAACTGCTTCCCCAATACATTGGACCCTGGAACTCTAGGGTGACTATGACTGGAATCGACAGAAAGCGACTTTTGTGTCTAACAGAAGTGTGGTCCAACCAGCCTGAGCAGAGGGTGACTTCTCAGATCCAGGAGCACCTGGGGGCAGCTCATTTTTTTTTTTAAATTGTATCAACTCTTTATTTATTTTTTCTTTTATTATTATTTATTTATTTTTATTATCATCAGCTCATTTCTAAAGCACAAAGAAATGCTCTCCTGTCTGCACGCGGGTCTCGACTCTGTGCTTAAGCACGTCCCTGTAGCTTGCCCAGGGCTGGTGCAGCCCTCATGCCCTGGGTCTGCGGCCAGGTCTCCACTCCTTAGCTGGTGTTGCTGACACGGATGTGTACCCTCCCTCCTTCCTGCCACAGCCTCAGCTAGAAAGGCCACTCGTTTAACCACACATCTGATGGGCAGCCCAGTGCGAGACCCAGAGAAAACAGAGAGTTTTGTTCTCCATGGGACAGAAACATTTAAGCTTAGTAAGCACATGCTTTAAGATTTGGGATTCTGTTTTGCTCTTTGGATCTATACATATCGATATCCAAAAGCCATTTTCTTGAATGCATTTTAACTTTGAATTTGAAATATGCTTTTGAGGCTTTTTATTTAATAAGGCACAGGTACAGGGCTACATTCATCATTTAGACTAGACCTTATTTTGCACTTGATGTAAAGGGAAAAAATTGGCATGCTTATTCACAGTAATTGCATAGAGCGAAACGAACCCCATTTATGTAAAGGATTATTGAAGGAATAAAAAACTTCCGAGATAAGCCTGTTAAATCATTTATTCAGAAAGTGATTGACATTTGCCCAGATCTGACTCCTGTGCTTTGCCAGGCTTTAAAGCAAAGCAAAACAGCAATTATTTAAGTGATGGTGAAAAACAGTATTGAGGGAACCAGCAGTTAGCGTAATGGCTATGTCGCTGGACTCCCACATAGTCGACCACGGTTCGTGTCCCGGACCCGGTGGCTTAAAACTCACGCTGGGTGCGTGTGCGTGTGTGCCCAAGATCTCAAGAGGAGAATGGAGGAGAAGGGATTGCGGCGTGACTATCCCCCCTGGGGGGTGATTTCTCGCTTTCTATGTCTCTGTCTGTCTGGCGAGTGCATGCGCCCTACAGTGAAATATCTCACAAAAAAAAAAAACAAAAAAAACAAAAAAAAAAACCAGTATTGAAAGAGAGAAATCCTGGAGGGCAGATATATTTTAAGTGCTCATTCTCTCTTAAATAATGTAGTTTTCAGACCATGGAACTATGCCCTGGGAATCATCTCAGTCTATCTGGCAAACTTTGACACTTTATCACTAAAGATATATCTGGGTACAGCAGATGGCGTAATGGCTATGTCACTGGACTCCCATGTAGCCAACTGTGGTTCGAGTCCTGGACTCGGTGGCTTAAACTCATGCTGGGTGTGTGTGCATGTGTGCCCACGATCCCGAGAGGAGAATGGAGGAGAAGAGATTGCGGCATGGCCATCCCTCCTGGGGGGTGATTTCTTGCTTTCTGTCTCTTTGTCTCTCTCTGTCTTTCTGGCGAGCGCACGCGCCCTATAGCAAAAACCTCTCCAAAAAAAAAAAAAAAAAAGATAAATGCAATGTCAATAATGCAACCACTTCTTTTTGAATAAGTATCTCTCTTATTCTTTTAAAGATTTTTACTTTGTTGTATGATTAAAAATTTTGCTGGATACTAAACGGATGGAGTTAAGCTAAGAGTCTAAATCTGGGAATCTATTTCCTTTGCAAATATTTGTTTCTTTTTTGGTTTTAAAAATTGGTTAGAGGGTATGTGTGCTTGCTCAGGAGAGAGGGAGGATGGGAGGGAGACAGAGAGAGAAAAACTGAAACCCCTAGGGGGATGGCCATGCCACAATCCCTTCTCCTCCCTTCTCCTCTCAGGATTTTGGGCACGTAAGCAGAGGTAACTGTTGTGTTTTGCAAGCCACAGCCACTGGGTCTAGGATGCGCAGTCAGCCATTGGGATCCAGCCTCCCAAATACCAAGCCACCAGATGGCCCCACTCTTCCTCCTTTTCCTTTTCAGTCAATGTCTAAATCTAAATCAAACTCTTAAAATATCTGATGTGAATAAATGGTAAGCCTATATTATTTTCCCTGCTCCAGACAAAAAGAGTCTAAAATTTATAAAGACGTGAGTGTAACGTTTTTATCAATTAATCACTCTCTAGACTCATTCTCATTAACAAACATTTGAGGCAATCCAAAAAGGAGGGGGAAAAACCATCTTTAATTGATTCCTCGGGGAATTGTTTTTCAGATGTCAACTGCATTGTCTGTTTTCTATCTGGCTATGTTTGGAGATATCCAAATGAAATACAGGACACAGACACATGAAATGCTGGTAAGAAACAGGACGAAATGAAAACATCCCTACCCGGTCTGTACAGAGCAACGACAGTCCATTCCATCAGTGGGATAAAAGCAAATGCGAATAAAGGATTTTCACCTTTGCGAAACGACCAGGCTCATTTGCCTTGGCGGGAGCTGCTGGGCAAGACTTCTGTGACAGAGTCCAGAGGGACATGGATGGGGTTCTGAAACAGCATCACAGTCTTGTTTTGGAGGTGATGACGAGATTTGTCACCGGCGGATGAGTGCGACCTGTCAGGACTTTTAAATGTAGTTGTGGGATTGGGCTGTTCAAAATCTCTTTCCTTTGAATACCCCCAAGCTTTGTAATGATGCCATCGGCAGCTGATGATCGTAAGAGGACAGTGTTGACTCTTCTTCAATACCCCTTTTCATATCCATTTTCACCCCCTATATAAAGTTGGAGATAAAAAAGTTCAAGGAGTGTGAAAAAGTCTAATAAAATGAAGAAGAAGACATTTTAAAAATGTCTAAAACCCAGTTTACCTTGTTCCTTACATTTTTTTAAGGTTTAGAAAATGTATGAACATTTTAAAGCATTTTAAGGATTGTAAACTTTTTTTTTCCAGAATATCTCTAGTGTTCCTTTATTGTGAGCACACAGTAGGTTCAATAAATGCTCATTGCAAGAATGAGTGTCTATAAACATCTAGTGATGTTTCCTCATTTACCATACTTGGCGAAATCTATTAGTAGTGTTATCTTCGTTCATGACGGTTGTGTAACAAAACAACGTTCGGTATAAGAATTGATATAAAATAATACTATAAGAATAGTGCATTGAAAGATGGAAACTTAAAGATCCAAAAACACAAAGACTAGTGTCTGCCCATGAATGTCTAAATACAGCAAGCTGGACCAGGAAAACGGACATGCGTATTTGTGAACACATTTCAGATGAAATTTTCAACATAAGTCTTAGAAGTTTAAATTAACAGAAAGAAAACACAATTATTTGTAAAAAACAACGTATACGTGAGGAGAAATGCAGACTCTCTGGAAATTGGCATTTTTAACACTGTGCAAAATTGCTTGTAGTGTCCTCAAATGGATATTGGTGGCCAAAGATGCATAGAAAACATCCCCTTCAAGGGCATGGATCAAAGCAATGCAGCCTGCTGTGTCCTCTAGCGACCTGGTCTGGTCATCATGGCTGTGGTTTCCAACAGCTGGTCTGGATGTGGGATGTTGCCAACAGCTGGTCTGGATGTGGGAGACCTGCAAGACGGGCAGCAGCAGCTGGAAGGCGTCCTGAACGTACGTGGTGCTATTGCAGCCCTAGGAGGGAAACATGGTGGAAGGTTATTGTCATAACTCAATCTGAGCGACCTCTTTCTTTTTCTTCCTTCTTCCTTCCTTCCTTCCTTCCTTCCTTCCTTCCTTCCTTCCTTCCTTCCTTCCTTCCTCTTTCTTTCCTTTTCT